AATAGCCCATGGCCTCTCCTCTTACAGCTACTGATTGATTAGGGGTAAGAGAAGGGCTTTTCATACTGTGCCTCTGCCAAAAAAATAAAAGGTAAAAAGAAACCACTGACACGCAAAGTGCAGATTTGGCCAGGTTCTACTTCAGATGATGAAAAAGCCTTTTTTTCATCTTATACAAGTGGAATTAATGTTTTTTATACACCAAGACCTCACGATGAATGTTCTTTTCCCTTAGAGAAGACCAGAATAAGTTAAGCCTGGACCACCAACTCCATGTGAAAGAGGAGGGGCCAGCAGGATGTTACTCATTTTTTGACTACTCCTGTGCCTGGTGTACATTTCTGTTGCTGATTCAGAAACCTGTAGCTCTTTCCTGCTCTCTGTCAGCTGTTTGCCAGCTCACTGCATCAATCAAAAGCATCTCAAGGCAATGGTGAGCAGCCTCTGGAGCCCTCTGACCCTGCAGATGCAATGACCTGCAGCCCCTGCTAACATTTCTTTGCTCAGTTTTTTCCCATGGTTTCCTGCAGGATGAAATTACCTCTAAAGGGCTATTTCCTGGCTGTAATCTCTTTGATTTTTTAACTCTGGTGTTTTTTATATTTTCTTCAGACATAGGTCAAGCAGACAAAGACAAGGTCAAGCATTTTGTCAAGTAGAAAAAAGATATCAATGCAAAAGGGTGAGGGGAAAAAAAAGCAAGCCCTCTGTATAAAGCACTTCAGACTACTTATGCAGCATATTAGAGAGCAAAAGGAGCTTTCTGGCTCCTATCTGGCTGTTGTTGCAATTGTTAATGTGGTTTTGTTCCATTATTAATGACACCAGAAAAAGAAATCAGGCTTTCCACACAAAGTTGAGAGACTGTCATCTGACATCTTCCAGCAAGAAGGAAGGAAAAAATGCTTAAAATAATGGAAATAAGCAAAGGGAAGGGGAAAGGAAACTTAAAATACTGAGCATATAGCAATAAAATCTGCAGATATCTATAGCAGCACAGGGATTGTGAGCCAAATCTCTTACAAGCCTTGTAAATCATTGCCAGAGCCTGCTAGTTTAAGGCCACTTGGTAATAAACAAATTAAAACTCATCTGTTACAGTCTATATTGTATTGCATGATATGTCCTTGTTTCCTAGAACTGCTGTTTGACAAGCAGAGAAAAGTAAAACCAGTAGAGCAGCACTAATGGATGAAACATCTATAACCTGGAGTGGCATATCATTAGCCTCATCTGGGTGTGGTTGGACAGGACTTTAATAAAAAGCTTCGTTAGGAAAATACATCATGAATATGCTAAGGTAAGTAAAATCAGGAATAACACTCCAATCTGGCCTTCCTGTAAAGTTACCCTGAGTTAGATACCAAATTAGCAATCCCGCAGAAGAGTCAGATGGGATGCATACCTTTGCTCTCACCTGGCAGAAACAGCTCCATTGCTGAAGCCTTGCACTGATGCCCAAGCACCAAAGCCCACGACCTACACACCAGCTTATCCACAGCACATCCTCTTCATATTCCATCCCAACAGCAGGAGATACTTGCTGAGGCTCATCACCCATTGCATTGGGGGTGCTGAGAGGCAGGCAGAGGCTGAGGGAACTCAGAGGGGTCAAGCATCAAACTCAGATTTGGCTGCTAATCAATTATACAGCTATCATCAGCACAAGACAAAATGACCTCAGGTTGTGCCAGGGGAAGCCTAAGATAGATATTAGTAAAAATTGCTTCACTGAAAGGGTTGTCAAGCTTTGGAACAGGCTGCCCAGGAAAATGGTGGAGTCACCATCTCTGCAGGTATTTAAAAGACTGTAGATGTGGTGTTTAGGGACATGTTTGGTTTAGTGGTGGACTTGGCAGTGCTGGGATAACAATCAAGCTCAATGAACTCAGAGATTTCTTCCAACCTAAATGATTCTGATTCCTTGAAGCCAAGTGGTTCTCTCTGTAGTCACTTGTTGATGGGGTTGCACCTCATGGTCCCCAGCACCAGCCCCCACAGTGCAGCTTGCTATGGCCACACTCCTCCACAGGCTGCTAGCAAGAAGCCTGCCCTGAAAATCCCCCTGCCCTCCACTGCTCCGCTTCCCCGCCACCGGGCTCACACCCTGCCCAAAGCACTCACCCATTGCCACCATTTCACAGGGTGAAACGGTGTATTTCTGTTTAAGAGAAGCCTTCTCTCTTTCAGAGGGAATGTTTGCACCACAGAGGGAAGGAGCACTGTTTCCAATGGACTGTCAAGGAGAAAGGAACCAGCTAGCTTTCAAATAAATATGGTTTATCATAGCTTGATTAAATGCTTTCTTAATGCTGGGCATTTTGTAATGTCACTGTATTTCCTGATGTGCAGTTTATATTGGAAAAAACCAACCTCTAGATATTTTATAGTTTTCCCTTTAAAAAGAAGGAATCTAAAAGCTCTTTGCTGTTAATTATTGATGCCAAACACAAACACTCATTTCTTATCCCAGGACTGAACATTTGACCTATACTGCAGAGCCAAAATTCAATATTTGAGAAGAACTCCAGATGCAGATTTCAATTTCATGACTCACATCTGTCTTTCCAATAGGGTGGATTAAATCCATGCAACCAGTGTGATACATTTCAAATAGGTGAAGTTCAATTCGTTTTATATGAGCAGATGCCTCATATGTTGTGCTGCCAAAATAGGTCACTGGGCCAAAAGCTCAAAAATAATTTAACTAGAATTTGAAAGAAATGAAAAAGGAAAATCACATTAAGTCACATCACCATGAGACCTTATTTAATGCTTTGAAGCACTTCCATAAAGTGATGGGATCAGGAAGAAGCTTTGCCAGTGGGAATCTCTTCCAGGGGAAAGGCTACACACTTTCTAATGTAATTTCATTTTCAGCAGTGACACCTGGGCACAGTGTTGGCCTGATGAAGCAAAGGGGATTTGGCAGAGCACAGGAGCAGCTCAGACAGATCACAGAAGCTTCTTCAAACGCTTCTTGGGCTCTGGCGGGCTTGGTGCTGTGACCACTTCCTCAGGGAGCCTATTCCAGCACCCAAACACTCTCTGGGTGAAGAACCTTTCTTTAATATCCAAACTAAACCTCTCCTGACAGAACTTCAAGCCATTCCCTCAGGTCTTGCTATTGGTCACCACAGAGAAGAGATCAGTGTCTGCCCTTCTTCACCCCCTCACAAGTCGTAGACTGCAATGAGGTCTCCCTTCACTCTCCTCCAGGCTGAACAGAGCAAGCGCCCTCAGGTGCTCCCCACACAGCTTCCCCTCAAGGCCCTTCACCATCTTCGCTGCCCTCCTTTGGACACTCTCCAATAGCTTGATGTCTTTCTTATATTGCAGTGACTAAAACTGCACACCATATTCAAGGCAAGGCCACACCAGTGTAGAGCAGAGCGGGACAATCACCTCCTTCAACTGGCTGGCGATGCTTTGCTTGATGCCAGATGGGGTGGAACGTAAGCAATTCATAGCCTGCCTCCGAAGATTAAGTGCAAATGCACTTTCGTGCAACCCCAGCACCATGGCAGGCTGAAAAACCTATGTGAGATTATATACTTGAGCAGTACATCCTCACTGGCCTCTCTCCCCCCGTCCCTTTATCTGACTCGCATTGCTGAAGCTCCAAGGGAGACACCAAAATTTGGGGAAGCTGGAGATTTTATTGCACCTGATTAAACTCTGGGCCCTGGAGGCCATGCAGATTGCACCCTCTCTTATCAAAGCCTGACACTTAAGTCCTAGAAGTCCCCTCTAAGGTGTGCAAGAAGGAAGCTGTAATGCCATAGGGAGGTTTTCACCTGGCTGCACATGACAGCATCACACTTGGAAAGCCCCCGTGGGAGCAGGTCCCCCACAGCTGATCCCTGTGCAAGCCCAGCCCTACTCCTGCTCAGCCCCCTGCCGAGAGCTGTGCTTCAGCCACCCAGACCCCCATGGGATTCACCTGTCATCCTCATAGACAACCAGTACCAGGGAAACCTAAACTAGTCCATACAGTGCAGTGGGAGATGTGACTGCCCAGCACAGAGGGCTCTGGCAGATCCTAGCTGTAACTCTTCACCTGGGGGATTGATCTTTTGTCCCACCCACCCTGAGGAGCCATTGCTGACCAGCACACTGAAGTGTGTCTCTTTTACCCACAATCTAAGAAAGAGAACTTGAGGAAAAGGAAATGTGAGGAAGAGGAGGATGGAAGACCTGCAAAAGGGCCGTTCTGGTGTGTAACTCTTTCCCTGGTCAGAGGAGCGGCTCTCCTGGGGATGTATATGGCTTCTGGCAGCCATATATAAGGCTGCCTCTGAGCAAGGATGAATTTCAGGATTGGGACACTCACGTTTTCTAATCACGCTTCCCACTAACTCACACTGTCTTGTGCTTTTCTGAAAGAAGGACAAGGGTGTCTGGGAACCTTCGCCTGAGGACAGAGAGAGAGAGAGCACCCTGCGCATGTGCTGGGTACGATGGGATGGGAACGAGTCTTATTTTCCAGCGTGGTCATCAAAGATGACTCCTGGAGGCAGAGATGCTGATGCCCAGTCCCACCGTCTTCCCTGCAAGATCACCAGGCTCTTCAGGGCAATAAAGTTAGTTTTAACACCTCGAAGAGAAATTTCCCGCGCAGATGCACAGTCATACCTAAAAGCAGCCTCCTCGGCCGGGTGTCCCGACCGCGGGTTCGGCTCTCGGCTCCCAGCTCCGGCGGGTAGCGTCAGGGCCGGGCAGGGCTGCGCGGCTCCGCGGCCGCCCATCTCATTTCCCGGCTGGGCGACGGCCGGCGGCCGGGCAGCGCCTTCCCTTCCTCAACCAATTGCATCTCCAGCGCGATTCGGAGGATCGCGGGGCGTGAGGCGGGGGAGCGCCCTGGGGCCGGTGCGGGGGGGAGCTGGGAGCAGCCCCGGCGCCGCGGCGGGAGGGGGAGGAAGAAGTGGAAGGGAAGCGAGGGAGAGGCCTGGGGCAGGCAACCCCCGGGGGCGGGCCGCGCCGGCCGGCCCAGACACTTAAATGCCACCCCTGGGGCATCGGCTTCTCGCTGATGAGACCGCTGCAGGGCTGCCGCGGACGGGGCGTCGTCGTGGGGACCGTCACCCTCTGCCTGGCCGCCGGGTGGGCTCTGCAGAGTAAGTGTCCGACTCCGTCTCTGTCTCCCCCCGCTTCCTCCCCCACTCCTTTCCTCCTCCTCCTCGCCGCGATACCCTAGCTCAGCCCCAGCGCCCGGCACCTGCTCGGGGCGGTGCAGAGCGCCCGCCGCCCCCCGCCCGCGGCCAGCGCTGTTCCCAACCCGGCCGTGCTCCCGGGAGCTGCTGGGGACGGGACATACCGGGACTCAGGCAGGCATCGCTACTCTCTGCGGGCTGTACAAGGTCTGGGGAGGCTCGTCCCCGCTCCTGCTGCCCGGAGGGAGCTGGGGAGCCGAGCGGGGCCGGCCCGGAGGTGCAGGCCGGCCGCCCGGGCGGGAGCCGCGGCCGCGGGGGGGACGCGCCCCCCGCTCGCTCCCGGCGGGGGCGGCCCCGGCAGCCGCTCTTCGCCCCCTGCTTTTCCAGCAACCGAGGGGACAAGGCACGGAGGGGGAATCAAGCCCGGTTAACCAGTCCGAAGGGCGTCGGGTCACGCTGGGAAACGCGGCGGTGAAGAGAGAAGGTGGGTTCCAACCCAGCACCCCAGGATGGTTGAGTGGGGATGGGACAACTTGCAGAGAACCATCCTCGCTCTTCCAGCTAGGGCTGGAGGAGACTGCTGCCAACCCCACCCACCCCTGGGGACTGGGATGTCCGTGCCACCAGAGTTTGGTTTGGACATGGCCACAACACTCCATCATCAGATGTGATGCACAAACAAGACACCAAAGGGTGGAGGAACTGTCCCAAGGGTTTCAGAGCTTTGTTTTAGAGCTGTCCCCCCAGTTTAGAGCTCCTGCATGGAGGCCCCTCACTGCCAGCCCTTTCCCACCCACTCCCCAGCTATGGCCAGTCTGGTACACAGAGCCACACTTGCCACTTTGACACTCGGCCAGGCGAATAATTCGGAGCAGAGCAGCATGCCAGGACAGCAAACTCACTGTGCTCTGAGCAGCACCGGTGCCCTCTTCTCCTGGGTGCGTGTTTTACTGGGCGTGAAGGGTCTGGTTTTGCAAGCAGCAGAGCAGAGTGGCATGCAAAGGGCCCTGCAGGTGGGTGTGATGTTTGCTCTCCAGCCTGGTGCAGCTGTGCTGGGATTAGACCGGTTCAGGTGATCTAGGCACAATGCCTGTTAAAAATATTTTTGAATGCTTAAATATTGCACTGCCTTTTGGAGCTTTGCATGCTGGATACGGACAGAATACGTTTGCAAATAATTCAATGGAAAGATGCCTCTATCAAAACAAAAGAGTCACTGAGGGCAGACACGCAGCTCCTGTCTGGTCAGAAACAGTGGGAAAGGCCTTTAAATAAACACATGGAGCAGAAAACAATTGGAACAATTTGCAGCGATTACCAGAGGTTCCTGGCTGTTCTGTGTCTGTAGCTGGCACAAACCCCATTTTCACAGCTCTGGTTAGTCTCTCCTGCACACAGGCTGAACGGCAGACTGCAGCTCCACTGAGGATGCACTGGGCTGCCCAGAAAGTGTGATGATGTTCCTGCAGAGCGACTGGGCAGCATGATCATGACAAAGCCCAGGAAGGGAGAATCCCAAAAGTGTTATCTTGGGAAAAGCCTAGATCTTATCTGGTCCCATAGGTGAGGGCCTGGGAATCGAACTGGCTTCTCAAGCTTCCTTGCCTTACCTTGACCAGAAGAGTTAGTGAATTTTGCTACATATCCCAAATACAGTGAAGCCAGCTTGTAATTAATTTACCCATGTCTTCCATTTCTGGTTGCTCATGGAGGGTTCTTAATTTAAGATTTTAAAATATATTTCTTTCCCTTGGAGATTTTTTTTCTTTGCTTTTTTAAATCATTCTTATCTCTGAGGACTCTGCAGAACCTCCAGGATCATCCCCAGGGGTCCTGCTTTGCACTCCTGCAGTGTAGCTAAGGGTCTCATTCTCACTCCTCACTGGTTTACAGACATTTGCAGGTCAGCATTACTTTTTCATTCTGCTCTTGCAGTCAGGCTGTTCCCACAGCAAGAGAGGAGAGTAGGTGAGCTGCTCCAAGCCAAATCAGGAAAAGGCTTTCAGCCTTACTCTGTGCTTTATCTGCCTTTTGTCTGCTTTGATTTTTGTGGAGAGATAACAGGATTTCAGCCTCTAGCCAAATGTCTCAAACGTGCCACTAATAAAAAGAAAAAATGTGTGCCAGTTGAAACTCAGATGTTGGTGTTCATCCAAATCTTCATGCAGAAACACCCACATGCAAGCAGAAATTATTGCTGTTACACATTAAACTAAGTGGTCAGTTCAGTTTCACAGATATGAACAGCTCTGTAATCACATCAGGAGGAACTAGATGAGAATTAAATATTCTTTAACGTGCATTTTTGCCCGGACATCATCAGGAACATGAAGTCCCTGGCTTCTCATGGAACTGCGTACCTTTGATTACATGCAATTTATCTGTGCTGGCATATAACTGGCTGCCTGTAAGAAGCTCATATCTCAAATGTTGATTACACATCCTGAAAAGAAGACCAAGTCCTTGCTGAGTCTTCACATACTTATGCCTACTACAGGTCTTGCTTTTGGGGGATGGTAATTAATTAAAAGGTTACCTTGGACATAACAATTAAACTTTCCATCTAAATGCAGGATTTTAAAAGAAAGCCAGTTACTGATGAATACAAAAGTGTTGCTCAGTTTTCAGAAAATGTTATGCTCCCTTATCCGAAAAGACCCTTCCAAAGTTTCTTTCAGTTTGGGTATGAAAACATTTAAACACACACAATTACTTATCCTCTATAGTAGAAACATTTTTGCTATCACCAATTGTGAATGTGTATATAGTGTTTAAGGATGTATGTTACTTTTACGGACAGCAGAAAGAGATACTACAAAGCATAATCCATCCTCTCTTAAAACAGACCTCTGAGACAGGTAGGATGAATCACACCCAGAGGTCCCAACCTGCCCTGGATGGTTGGTGCAGCATCACCTTCACACTCATCACCCTCCTTTGTCTTTCAGCTCCCGGAGGAGTATCGTTAGTTGTCCCACAACCCAACATCAATGCAACAGTGGCACAAAACATCCTCCTCTCAGTTGAATACTCTTGCAGAGGCATCGCCACCATAGAGTGGAAGCATGTGTCAAGCTGGGGCACCACCAGCATTGTTGAGTGGAAAATTGGGAATTATGTCAACATATCCACAGTCTACAAGGACAGAGTGACTACTTTTGAAAATGGCTCTATACAGCTTCACAACGTGGGCATGCGAGATGCCGGCTACTATTTTGTCACTGTAACAGAGGAGTATGGAAACAACGCCTACGGCACCATCATAGTCAATGTTTACGGTACAAACTAGATGGGACTTCTTGGCTTTACCCTGTGTTTAAATACCAATCTGTTTGTAATCAATTTTATAATACTATTTTTTTTCCATTCTCCCTACAGAAATTATCTATGAAGATTTACATTTTGTAGCAGTTCTCTTTGCCTTTCTCGCTGCAGTGTCTGCCATTCTGATCTGCTTCATGTGGCTGTGTAACAAATCTCTGCATCTGTTTCAGAAGACGACACACAAACTCACAGGTATCTCTCTAAGAATGCAGTCAAGGTATAGGGGTTTCAAGTCTGAAGTCTGAGCCTACAATTTGTGCCATAAGGGTGCTAAACAGGGACACTGAGAAACAAGACTGAAGGGCTCAAAATCAGTTATCCTGTTCTCTTTACTAGCTAAGGCAACTGAATAACAGGTGTTTAGTTGCAGAACAAGGCACAGGACATCTACCTCATACACTTCACATCAGAAATAATAAAACACCAATATTGCTGATTGCAAAACCTGGGGAGAAAAGGCAAGAGCTGCAATAACCCCCCATCAGAGGGCAGGAGACAAAGTCAAGAGCATCAGCAATTCTTTCAGAGTTCACACCAGAAACAGGGGAAAATAATCAAACAGCCCTTCAGTTCATGAAGGACTGCACCTCTCCCACTCCTCTCAACTCCCCCCCTTCATCTGTCCTCACCTTTGATCCAGTTGCAGACTGCAACAAACACTGACTAATATCAAAACCAGACTCCTGACACACACTGAAGACAACAGTCATGAAAAGCAGGTCAAGGGAACATGACGGAACATTCACATATTAGAGAAGAAATTTCCAAGCCAACGCCAGGGATATTTGGCCTAGGCAGCAAGACAAGGTGCCACTCTATGGACCTGGGATCAAGCTCTTTAGGTGCATCCTTGGAATGGGAGGTTTCTTTTACAACTTCAAAACATTCCAGATGTTTACCTCCATACTTTGTAAGTGCAGATCCACTAGTGGTTTCTTGCCCTGTAGGTAATAGGTCTGTATTTCTTCTATAATGAGTGCTGCTTAAGCTTTTACATTACAACAAGCAGCACAGCTATCAGGATTTTACTAGACCAACAGATACTCGAGCATCCTAAGCGTCATGACCCAGACTTTCTGTCAACTCTGCAAAACCTGATAAAAGAAGAAATTAATTTGGCTTGAGCTGCCTATTCCTTTCTGTCACTCACATACAGCTCTTAAGTGCTGTTGCTGTTTTCATGGTACACACACCATTCACAAGGTTCTGTAGCTACTGAAAATTTTCCTATCATGCCAGAAAATATAGGTTTTTGTTGGGATAAAGCCTCTTCCTCCAGTTAAAACTCATCTTTCTACAGAGCTGAATTGAATACAGTTATTCGGCAGAGTTCAGGAAAACCCCAGTTCCAAAAACTTGTCGTGTCATCTCCGAGAACATGATCCAAAGCAAGGACCTAACTTCTGCCCCAATTCCACCTTAGAAGAGCCCTCCTTTCAGAAGTTATGAAGAGAGGTATAAGGATGGGCCCTGTGGACTTAGGTTTTCATAGTGCCTTTAGCCTTGTACTGGAAGAAACCGGTGTCACTTTAAAGATTGTGAGGGCCCCTTTATGCAGTTAAATATTTTGAAAAGATGTATTTAAAACCTAACTGTAGATGAGCAGGCTTGAGCTAATATTAAAAATTTCAAAATATCTCAGCTATTAGCACAACACATGTAATTTTGGAACATTGGCCTTCCAATCCATTCGCCAATCAATAATAATATGCTTTTATTTACAGCAAGTACAACGGAAGAGATTGAATTGGAAACCATTGAGTGTTAGCCAAGGACTGTATCATAGCAAAAATAATGATTCTACCTCAGGAGAAAATATTGACCAAGAAAGCAAGAACAAACCTAGAAGGTAAAATGTTTGTGACTACTGCAGAAACATCCTGACTTGCAATTAAATCAGCAGTGTCTGATGGAGCTGTTTTGACCTGTTAAGTTTTCGGTTCTGCTAGTCAAGGTCACATTAAAAAAGAGAATGCTTTCATGCTAAGCATGAACACGTTTTTGTGGCTAACTAATAAAATCTACAGCCTCTACCACTCTTAAAAACAACCAGCCAACCAAGCAACCAAGCCTCTAAGACCAACCCATGAAGGAAATTATCATGGTCTTGAAGGACACCTGTATTTTGGATACAGCAAGTCTCCTATTAAGACAGAGTGGTCATTAGCATTCTTCAACATAATAAATTTAATATCTAATTACAGTATTACATTAAAAATTAATTGCAAGCATTGAATCCTGTTTATTGCAGCTATGCTGCTACTTTCAGGCATAAGGAACTTCCTGAAGCTCTGAAGACAAACTGTAGTTTTTCATGAGACAAAACTGACTTGGAAAGAATGCTGAGCTGGTCAAAGTTCTCCCGCTTATGTTTGCAATTGTTTACACTGCCCCAGAATGGATATTAACACACATTTTATGACATTACTAGAGCAGGTGGTTATACAAGGAAGCCTGTGCAGGCACTAAAGAGGATGCTGTCTACAAAGATATGAGGGGTCACAAAATACTGATACACCACACCAGTGAGGTGGCAAAGTACTAAACAGTTTTGTTGTGAAAGATGTCCAGTCCTTTAGAAACTTAGCCCAGTGACAAACAGTCTGAGAAGAAAAGTTAGAACAGCATTACTTTGAAATTTAGTATTTACAAATACAGTTCTGAAATTGCTCGTTTAGAAGCCACCTTTGCTTTCCTTACGTTCAAAGAAAACATGAAGTGATCCAACTAATGCTTTCTTGAATCTGCATATTGCACTGAATGCAATCTTCCACCTGCAGATCTGTTGCAGGTGGCATAACATTTATGTTTGTCAGTGAGAAAGCAGTAAACTGACCAAGCTTCAAGTTATTTTGTTTTGCTTTTGTAATGAGAATTTTGCAGTGTGAAATAAACTTTGAAAATGTAAGAGACCATGGACTAGTCTGTGCCTGTAGATTGCCACGCAGCTGTTTGAGTCAAACTGCTCCTACTACCTCTCTCACTCTTTGTCTGACTTGTTTGCAAAAACCTTTTACAGGACAGACTGACAGAGCTTCCCCTCTGGTCAGGGACTAGGATGACCAGGTGCAGAGGTACTATGGGTTCCATTTGGAAAAACTCTCAGAGAATTTCTCACCAAGTGAAAAATGATGCAGGTAGGTGTCAAACAAGCTTTTTTCCAAAGCACCCTGTACACAATACCTTTAAGTCATCCCCAGATTGAACTGGCCATTTGTGGTACAAGGGCCTCTCTCCCACTCATAAATTCAGGTGCTAGATTCAGCTGTTTGTTCCTTCCTGCATTTAGGAGAACAGGTCAGAAAAAGGAAGAAATTAAATTTTAAAGATCTCAGATACAGCACAGATGACTGACAGTTTGTTCTAATTTTCTGTTTTAAATGTGTATTACCAATCTAACGTATCTTTGAGTGCACTAAGCTTTGACAACAGAGAAACTCTTAAGTGCATCTGTTTCAATCACCAAGCTTGAAGTACTTGGTGAAGTATACTTATAGCATATGGAAAACATTATTGGGGTTTTTCTGTTTACCTATTCCATATTTTTTATTCCCTAAATCTTAGAATTTGAATGTGAAGTTATTAGGCTGAACTGAATATGTAGTAGGTGCTCTGCCAGACTTATTTAGTAAGTACAAAAAGTGCAGCGTGCACTTAACACCATTATTATCTGCTAACATTGCCCTGAACACTCCAATTGCCGAAGGAAGTCAGGAAACACATCCAGACATGAATGACCATTCAAGTGTATTGCTGTGATTGTAGAGATCACGCACACTTGTAAACTACAATATTTGAAAGCTAGGATGAAAGTAGGAAATGACCACTTAAAATTCTTCAGTTTAAGATGTACTACAACAGCAGTAACAAGTTTCCACCTGGCACAGTTGTTCTACCTCTCTTAGCTTGGCCAAAGTCACTGCAACTTCAGGCACCTATTTTTGGCTGTTGACCGTGGTGCCAACCTCACTTTTAGGCTGTAATATCCCAGATGAACAACAGGGACTCAACATTCACTGATGACATCCAGTACAGTTAACCTATGTACAGCTTTCCTTATAGACAATTCCTCACTCACAAATTTTACCCAGAATTTAACATGCTTACTTGTACACACGTAGGGTCTTTTATAAAATATTAACATTTTTCTGAAAATTATGTTTTTCAATATGCATTATTAATGCCAGTATTATTTTATGTACAGAAGGTGAGACTAAGCTGTCTATAGCAGTTTCTGTAACTGGGGCAGTTTCTGTTACAGTGGAAGTTCAGAAACTAATAGCTATTGTTACTCCTCTTGTAAACTCCCTGCAGAACACCAGTGAATTTAATATTTAGAGCATTCTAGATGATCAAACGGGTTAAGGCATTTTACTTTTAAACTAATTAGAGAGATGTTCAAGTTCACAAGATTGCTTTGGCAATCAGTAGTAAAGGTCCTAATCATTCTCTGTCTTCATCTCATATTCAAAGATGCACTACCAAGGACTGTCCCTCTGTTAGAGGCCTAATCAGTCTGTTTTCCATTAAAATTAGGAATCCCTGTATATTCAACACTAAAATACAGATGCTCCAGGTCTCTAAGAATTCTTTTGTTGTTGTTGTTATTATTTTTTCAGCTAGACGTGGAAGTCTTGACAAATGTTTTCACTGCTAACATGCAGTGCTTGCACTTCCACAACACATTAGATGTCCTCTTGCATCTGTTATTTCTTTTCAGGAGACAAGTCCTGCAACCATGAGATTCTAATAGCTCCATAGTGATCTGATTACATGGTAATGAAGAACTTACCTACTGAAAAGGCTATCACTACATGCAGACCTGTCAATTTAGGTTAACAACAGTGAAGTGTAAAGACATGTTCAAGTTTCATAGACTCATCTTCTAATTATTAGTAAGGAAAGATTTGTTCTGTTGTCAGGAGTCAAAACAGCCTCATACAGTTGGATGCATCAGGCTGTTGGCTGAACTGTTCACCAAGAAACAAAAGTCCTCCCTGTCTGTAGTGGTACAGTGTCTATTAGCCCAGCAATACAGGACATGACATGATGGGTGTTAAATAAGATTCACCCACTTTTCAAGAAGATCAGGAGACTATTTTCTACTAGTATTTTTCATTTTCATCAGTTGTCTTGGGCAACTCATCAGAACCTGAAAGGAAAACCCTTTCTCTCTCACAGATTAGTTACACAGAAGCCAGTACATTCAGGAACTGAAACAAGATGCTCCATGCTGGCAAACATCAAGAGAACTACAAGAGCTGCTTTGGATACACACTGAGCAGCAGCTTGCCACAAGCAGTTGCTTAATATGTATTTCCCAAAACTATTCTTTATTACTTGAGAGTACACCAAAATAATAAGTGTCATCATAGAAGTACGATGTTCAATTCAAACATGTTTACGTGCAAGAAGTTCTCATATATATATATACATATATACACACACCTCATAACACAACATGGACATGAATCTGAACCAGTTCATAAAGACAGGTTTCAAAAAGACTTTTAGCAATTAAGTACCAAAAAAAATAAAAGCTTTGTTAACACCTTACTAGAAGCTTCAAGGCTACAACTACCAAGCCAAACCCATCAAAACCATGACTTTTTTTATTTTGAAAGAACTCAAAAGAGCCAATATTCAGGAGGATATTATTGTTTCCCTGGACGATAATCATTGAGAGAGCAGGATAAAAACCCAGCAGCATGTGTGGAGATCCAAGGTTTACTGCACGAGAGTTACCACCTTCTATCCAGACATTAATTTATACAAATCACTCACAAACTCAAATTGTCAGAATTTTGCAAGCAGAGTAAGACCTTTCCTCTATATTCTTGCAAAAAAGAGAGACAGAAAACACAAGCTGTGACTCTGTAACACTCTCAACTTAAACAAACTGCCAAGTAAATATATTTCTCAAAAATAAATGGGTCACCCAGAATCCCCATCGATGTACAAACAATCCAACTGAAGAATGCCACACAGTGAAGACGTTACCTTGATCTTAAGTATTGTTTAGCTTCAATTCTTGACACAGGAGCTCTGCTTCTACTGTTGTCCCACTTCTCATCAAACAAGGCCATTAGCATCCACAGGGATAGCCAGATTCTGTGGTATAAACCACTAAAAGGCCCACTGAGAGCCCAATTCAGTTCTAATATTTTTAATCTTTCAGAAATACTTGCAAAATCTATTGAAAAAAATAAGGGCATGAGAGGAAAGGGAATGATTCCAAGCAGACACCTTTCATGTAGTAAAAAGAATACTGAATTTAATTTTATAAACAAAAAAATACGTTAGTTACTCAGTTATGTTACTCTGGACAGAGCAATCAGCAAAGATACAGCTGAGCGGAACTTTTTCAAAAAATTATATGTATTTTATATGCCATTGAAAAAAGTTTTATTACAAACTCCACAATGGACATATCCGTACAGGAAATAAATTTGGTTTTGCTTTCTTGTATTGGCCCATAGCTTCCATTTCCCTTTGCTGCAGGGGCAGTGATTGTTGCACAGAGACTATTCAAAGCCCCCACAGAGAGGCCGACGCATCATCAGCAGGGAGTTAGAGCAGCCATGAGCAGTTCCATTTTATACACAAAGTTACGCCCTTCCATTTTATTCCACTGAACCTCCTTGAATGGCCCTCGGAGATGATTCCACTTGCTGTCTTGCAGTACATCACCTTTTGGGAGATCCTTGCACTGACTCCGTGGGAACTGAACCATAACTTTGCTGCCACTTTCCGGACCGTTACGTACTGCAGTGAACAGAGATTTTAATGAGCATTTTTACACTGTATGAATTCCTCCTATGAAATATTCTTTCTTGTGTATACTATACATTACTCCTACTCAATTCCAAGCATGCTGAGAGCAAACAAGGGAAATTCTTTTTTTTTTTTTAAAAAGCTTTTTCTTTTAATTTTCTCTCTCTCATCTTCCAGTTCTCTACGATTTTGTTGCTTTAGCACTAACTGTTTAACTGGATCTAATTCTGGTTAGATTAAACCAGAGATACATTTGATAAAACCCCCACACATACACCTTATAAACACATTTCTTCTTTCCTAATGATGCCAGGAAGGGCAAAGGTTATTATGCTCATTCTTTCCTTGCATGTATTTCCAACTATTCTTTGAAAAATGTGAGCAAAAATGTATTGTTTCTAGTGCATTTATCTCAAATGGACAGGGACAAAGTCACTAGCATAGTTGTTGTTTTTAATCTCAAAATTCTGCAAGACTGGTGGAGGGGGGGTGGTGTTTTGTTGGTTGGATGCATTTCTGTGTTTTGATGCTAGGTAGTGGTGTGTGTTGGCTTTTTAAATAGCAGTTAGGGAGGCAACACTTAGCTTTCCCCTCATTTACCAAGCCAGCCTTCTACAGATGAGTGTAACGCTGATTGAACATAATTTCTCCTTCATAAATTGATGCCAATTACTCTCAGTCACCACCTTCTATGGAATATGTTTGGAAACTTCTTCTGGGCCCGGTTTTTCCCCCCTTATCTTCCCAGTAATGCAATGAAACTGATCAGACTGGAGTTCCCCCACATTCTCCTTCTTGAATACAGGATGCGACCATCTACGTTCTTCCAGTCCTCAGGAATCCTTCCTGATCGCCACGGCCTTTTAATGATCAAGAGTGGCCTTTCAAATGACATCAATCAGCTCCCTCAGCACTCATGGATATATCCCACCTGGTCTCGTGAATTTGTCAATGTCTAAGTTTGTTCAAAGGTTCTCTAGCTTGCTCCTCTGCTACTGAGGCTGTCTTTGCTCCAAAATTTCCCATGGGTCTCATGGACCCATTCCTAAAGGCCAGTCTTAAGATCAAAGTAAAGAAGGTACAGAGTACCTTGGCCTTCTTCATGTCCCGTGCCACCAGGTCCTCTGGCCATTTGAAAGGAGTCCCACGTTTTCCCTAATCTTCCCTTTGCTGCTGTCATACCTGCTCAAACTCTTCTTGTTGCCCTGCACACCCCTCAGGACCTTAGCTTTCCTATCCTTGTCAATGCCTGCTTGGACAGCCTCTCTCTCTCTCTCTCTCCCAGGTCAACTGGTCAGGCTTATAATCTCTTGCAGCTTCTTTTCTATTGTCATGAGTTCAGTCATGAGCTCCCTGTTCATACAAACAGATTTTCTGTCACCTTTGCAAAACTGCCAGAACATAGGTATGACCATTCTTGAGCTTGAAAGAAGTGATCCTTGAAAAAAATAAACAACTAGCTCTCTTGAACTCCTTTCCATCCCACAGGATCATATCCTGTAAGATTCTTTCACAAAGATCCCTGAAGAGACCAAACTCTCTTCTCCTTAAGTCCAGAGTTGTGATCTTGTTGTTTACCTTTTCCCCTTCCTTCAGGATCATGATGGTTTCTGTAATCTCCTGTTTTTATGCTGTCAGAAATATTTTCAAACTTGTGTAAATTAAATCAAGTTTATATTTAGTGGATTCCTGAAGAAAGTATTGATTCTATTCAGATGTCAATTCCATACACAAAAGAAATAGTCTCTACACTTGTATAGAATAGTATCAATTTATAGCAAAATGCTCCACAAAAAAAATCTCAGGAAGAGACTTGTAAAGCCTGTAGATCTCACTTAAGAATTGTATGACTTGGCATGCATTTACAATAGAAATACTACCTGAAATGGCATAGTCTCCATTTGGTGATGCTACAGTTATTGCTGATGCATTGCCAATACTCTCCACTGGCCCCAGACCAACATGATTACTGAAACTCAGCACGTGCCATCCCATAACTTTTGCAAGCTGCTGAACTGCATGTACTTGGTGCTGTGACATCTGAAAGATAACAAGAGGTTCACCTTCTGTTCAGTATTTGCACTCCACAGGAAGAATTGCTTACTGGGTTTACCAAGCCTTTTTTCTTCTATACAAGTTATTTATAAAAGTGACTTTGTATTTTAAGTTCTCTACTTTAGAGGAACTTTTTTATTTTTTATATGCATGCAGGTAGAGCTTTGTGTTATTTGAATTTAGACTACTTCCTCTGCAGACAGAGGAGACCACTGTATTATTCAATTAGATGAATTTTTCATAGGTATATGGGTTTATGCAATTTATTTAAATATTGCTTTCAATTTAAAAATACTCGAAAACTAATTCAAGGGATTCAAACGGGATTTTTAAACAATCCTGTCTGTGAATAAAAACAAGACTTCTGCTGTAAAATATATAAAAATCTTGAAAGTATCAAAAGAAACAATTCAAAAAAAAAGTTGAGGTTCTCATATCCATGATTATCTCCATTAATGCTCGAGTGTAATCACTGAGCTTTAACAGCTTAGGAGTTTAAATGCTACTGTTTTTCTGTATTATGACTTAACACTTGTAACAAGGAACTATCTAGCGCTGTTCAGCAGTTCTTTGTGAACAAGTCTGACAACACTTGACCAAAAAGACATGCCCTCAGCAGAATCTGTTTCAACCTGTTTTCTGTGTCGTGGAGTTTTATATAACTGCAACAGGCCAACCACTATTATTAAAGACCTGTATTTTGACTATTTATAATGCATAGTAGGGAGATTGTTGCTTCTGAATAAAACCAGCAGCTTGTTCTAAGCAATTAAGTAAATACAGTTCATTCAAATATCAGCTGATTTAGTAATGACTGATGCAAAGTGAGCACTAACAGACAATGTTGAAATGACAGTAATTGTGGGCTCATTAAGAACTTGGTTACAGTAAGTTTCACATATAGGATACTTTACTGTTTGTTATGAGTCTCACTGACTTGCTTCTACCATAATGAGCAGCATAAAGAAATGTATTTTAAATGGGAGGGAAAAATCATTATTACTACTGATCTTAGTAAAAACTAGCATTATATTTTAGTAACAGTTGCTGAAGTCACTATACAAACATAGTGAAAATTCAGTAATCCACCTTCCCATTTTCACTATCTTTATTTGAAGTTTTTAAATATTTTCTATACAGATAAAGGTGAGATTCTTCTGTTTTTCAAACAGTACAAGAAAGGGAAGAATAATGTGTATGAGTCTACCTGAGATAAAAGGAAATCCTGCAGTTCTTGCTCTTGATGGGACAATGTAATAACTCTTCCATCTCTATGCACAACTCTGATTTGTTCAACTCCAATGTTCAGCTGTAGTTGAATGGATCTTTGAAGATAAGAGGCATATTTATTCAAAATGCACTACAACACTAAAGAAAACAGGAAACTAAGAACACAGAATCCCCCCAGTCATTGACAAGAACTCTTAAGATGGATGGTGTAAAGCCTACAGAATGTGACAGCAACTCCAACCATTTCAGTTTCATCACTCACCACAACAACTCCCTCTATACTGCAGGGGACATATTCTGTGGTATGTTCCCAGACCTGGTTCACTGCTTGTTCAGGTCAAGGAAGCCTCACAGTTCCCTGTCTGCCACTGTTGCCCAAGTTTCCTTCCAGAGGTGCAGGGAAAATGGTGTGTTCTATACTACAGCCAAGATTTGGGCAGCATATGCATTCTGGAACCAAGACTGGCAATGACAATGGCACCAATGACAGCAGTTTGCCCCACACTGTGCACACAGAACACTGCTCCAAATGTAAAAAACCACTGTCAATGCATTAAATAATTTACTGCTGGTCAGCATCCAGACATTTGTTTCTGGAACATGACATTACTTATTTTGATACCAATGTGCATAACTAATTGCACGAATTACATGAATTCCACATTTCAGTACCTATACAACCAAGCTAGGACTGAGGACTGATTAGCTTTCCATAAGGAGCCTGGAAGTTTAGAATCCAACATATCAAATGATACTTTGTATTCAGTCATCTCTACCAAAAGTAAATCCCCCCCCTTAAATGGCCACTCTCATTTCTATTTTCTTCTTTGAAAGGAAACTGTGCTAATTAAAGATGTAATACATTTCTTCATTAAAGTGGGTGAAGTTTTCTTAGGGTGGCTGCTCACCCCCCAACTCAGACAAACACACACAAATAATGGACTCCTACTTGTCTGTCTGAGAAGAATCTAAACCTTTAAAGCACAACTTGGATACACATTCTCTGCTGCATGCTTCTACCAGTAAAAAGAGACATGCATTCTCATACTTACTTGCAAATCTGCTCGTATCCTTGAGAAGTTATTAGAACTTTAACACTGGATTCATAAACGTCATTTATATTGGACCAGTGAGCCTGAATCTGAGGATCCTCAATTCGACTCGCCAGACTGTCAATGGTTCGAGCAGTTCTAGAAGATAAAGCCATATCCCACACACAATGATCTAGGCAGTTTGTGCTGTTCTCTTGTTTAAAGGAACTGAGCAGGTTATTCCATTTAAGGGAACCATGTGGACCAAAGCTCTATTTCAGCACCATTCTGGTGCTAATGAAGGCCACTTGTTTATTATGTACATCTCTCAAGCATTCAGCAGCCATATTAAAGTGGTATTACTCAGTATCAGCTATTGCATTGCAAAGAATATGGAAAAAGATATTTTATGCAGTTTAAGATAAGTAGGGACAATTATCAGCAGCGTATGTCCTAACTATCACAGCAATCTCAAAAAAATCTGACTTTTTTTTTTTACTAGCTGAGTGTTGTTTGCTTGTATTTTATCACATATTATTGTTTCTTAGTACTTGCAAATAAACACTATTTTAACTGTGAAGGAAACAGTGCCTAATTTTAAGAACACTTAAAAAAGATCAATTGCATTCTACTTAATGGTACGTTTTATTGTAACTTTAAACAAGAAGAGCATATGACATACCTGCGTCTCAGAAAGATATGTTTTGCCTGTTTTATTATCTTTTCCAGAAGTCCTTCATTCGACTGTAGACAACTGATATCATTTTTATCAAAAGCCTGAGGTCCTGCAAGTCTCATTCTCTTGTGGCCAAAAGGTGCACTAGCTGGATGTGGCATTACTGTCGAGCTCAGGGTTTGCTTGTGACACTGAAACAAACAACAGATGTTATAAAATGAAGTGACCAAATAACATATCTGCAAGAAATACTACATATACAATATGCTGCTTCACATCAGGTTTTTTAAGTTTACATACTTTCAACAGTGCAACATTTTAACTTTAGAAACCTGACAGCATTTTAAAGCCAACTTTATGTGTGTCTTTCAAAACTTATGGAAAGTGATTTTTTTTTCTTTTTAAAAGTGCTAGCTAACCAAAATTTGGAACCATGCCTTTAATACATCTCTGGAGACAGAAAGAATGGTCAAATAAAAACAAAGGAAGCATTGTAGAGGAAAAAAACCTGAGGTACAAAAAGTTTTAGCAACCTGTCCAAAGTAAAGAAAGGAAATTCACAGCAGAGCTGGGCACTGAGCCAAAGCTCCATGAAACTTAAATCAGCATTTAAAACACTGGACTATTCCACATGGCTGTGTGACTTGCACAGCCATGCTCTAAGAGATGAACACTCACTGGAATATGGTTTCAACTCTGCTCAGACATGCAAAATTGCGTTCCTTTCCTGAACAGACGCAACCTCAACCTTCTACCCCAGGTCATTCTGCTAGATTATACAAGAATATTAAACACTGAAGCAGAGAAGTGGATCTGAAAAGAAGCAAAGCTATTACAATAATTGATTGTTCTTCCTTCATGGGGATACAGTCTGACTAGATGCTCCCTTACAGTGCTTGCCAAGCATTAATCAGACACAATGCAAAAAGGGAGACTGATGAGCTCTAGTGGAAAAGCTTTGCATGACTATTCTGAAGTGAGCAGCCAGGCCTGAGGTTAAGTAAAGAACTAGCATTCCATGAAAGCATGAAGTGGAACTCCTGAAACACCCATACCCATTGAAACCGAGCAATAGGCTGCCTTATACAAATGGATGGGAAGAGACTGGCCTCTAGCGGCACTCGGCTGTTACATCAGTGCCACACACCAGGCAAAAGACTGAACAAAAGCCCAAAAACTGTTCAGTGTTTGACCATAAATGCATTTATTACCTCTCTGATAAGTTGATGCAAATTATGTTCCAGAACATAGAGATGATCCTCTGGATTCTGTTTCTCAGAAGCAGCCTTTTGTGACTTTTTGTCATTGGAAGAGTGGCACAGAGAGATAGACAACTGCAAACCTGTACAAAACAGATGGGAAGAAAAAAACAAAAGAGAGCACTGACAATTGTCAAGGTTGCTACTGAGAACTACTTTTCTTCACGCTTTATAGGAGTAGTTTAACAACGAGAATTCACTGTATCAGAGAAAAAATCAAAGAATGATGGTGGAGAGCACAGCACCAAAGGCAAGTAAGACTTGCTACTTACTGAAGTGTTGACAGGCCAGCTATGAACTCACTAGCTGCATTTCTCACCAATTTCTATGACTCAATCCCACACAAAAAGAAAAGTCCTCAGGACCCCATTCCCTCCCCAAAGAAGGAATGATTTACCATCATGCACATTTTAAGCAATCCAGAAATATATTCTTCACATGATACAATCAGTTGTGTACCCCCTGTAAGAACAGAGGATTCAGCAGCTGACTCAGAGCCACCCTCATGCTGTTTAATTATCCTCATTGAAGAGCTTTAGCTTTTGTTCTTCTGAAGACCCATTAACTCAAGCCTTAAATTTCACTTGTGTGCAATCCAGGAGCAATGACCTATGCACAGCTCCAAACTGGCATGTGCACATGGCATTACAGTGGACAGTTTTAAGTGCTGCTGACAAAAAGCATAACCACAAAGGAAAACAGAGTAAATTAGAAACTAAAGCACATTAGTTGAATGTTTCTAGAATTAGTAAGCAAAATTCTAACTGTGAAATTCTCTTTTTCAAAACCTCTGAAAACCAAGGAGTCTGTTTTTTAAGAACAGAGCATTAAAAAAGGTCACATCAATCAGGAATTTCAATTCATGTTTAAGCAAATAATTGCTAAAAAGTCTTGGAAAGTTTCCTACCTGGGAAAGGCTGGGAGATTATCTGATTTTTCACAACAATGTGAGGAATCTGTGATTTAATTTGAACAGCTTCTCGCGACAGCTGGGCAAAAATTTCTTTACACAAAAGAACATTCTGCGCAGTCTCCAACTTTGTCTGCCAGTGTGGAGAACCTGAAAAATACAAATCAATGCTTCCAGAAGAAAAGAGTAAAGAGAAGCCACCTTTTTGTTCAGATACCAGACACTGTGCAGTAGGCTAGGCACAATTGCTAAGATAAAGCAGTCAGTACCTTATAACCAAACTGAGTATTATCAGAATTTTATCTCAATTAAGCAAGCACTTTAAGGTAACACTAATGCATTTTCATTCAGTTTAACATATGTGTATGTTTCAAAGTGAAAGGCCCTTCTGGAACCACGTATTACGCTCCCAAGCCTCTTGTGAACTCTGCTTAGGAACCTCTGCTTCCTAAGTTGCAATTTACTTTCAATGATACTTCCAGCTTTATTAAATTCACTCTACAATGAACTATCAAATAATATTCAGTTTGTGTATGTGCTTTCACAGGATTTATAGGCCCAAAATTCTAGGGAGATTCTGGTGTAAGTACACAAGCTCTATAATGTATCCTGAATACCAGATGAAACACTTCCATAGTACAGCACTCTGTCTATGTTCCGGACAGCATGAGCATCTGTGTCACAGACCACTGTGAAATGAAATCCTGCCAGTTTATTTTTAACCCTAAAGAGTAAAGGATGAATTTTTAATCCCAATAGTTTACAACTTCAAATACCAGCACATATCAAATGGATCAATCTACTCTCTGCCAGGTGGGTTGTCAGTAATTAACACACAGACTGCCATCACAGTTTCAGATCCAGATAAAACATATGAGCCATAGACACAATGCCTTTTGGGCAAAGTTAAGAGTGAACAGTCATACAGTTCAGCTGAACTATGGGATGTAACTGGCTGAAACACAATACCTTGGATTGATTTTGGTGATGTGCTCAAACTTTTAATGACTAAGAGAAGGTGCTACAGAATACTTGAAATACAACTCCCATACTTTTGTTTCAGAACTGAATAAACATCTGAAAAACTGAAGGAGCGTGCTCTGAAAGCATCACGTTTTCAAAGCCCAAGCAGCACCTAAACAGAAAATTTCAGTTTAAATAAGGATATTCTTGTTCACTCTTCTTCTAAGCTATATGCTATGATTTTCAAACAAGCATCAAACTCAAACCCAGTTCTTGAGAACATGCTCACAAAACAACATACCTGGTTTTGATTTTGGCAAGGGTCTTTTAAAGAGATTGACTGTCCCGAGGTCACCAATGTCTGGAGCTTGTTTCTGAATAGAAACCTAGGCAAGAAAGAACATTATTTGGTGTTTGTTCTGTTGCAAGCATACACATATCAAAACAAAACTCATGCTGCGTTATTACAGTTTCTCTGACAGACCTTGATATACGCTGATCCCTCTAAATCACTTGGAATTTGAACGTCCAAAGGACAGTAATCCTCAGGTATCTTTTTATCCAGGTCAATGTCAGTGTTCTTTATCACCTCAAATGTGCCATGATGAAGAAAAAGAGAGCCTGAGAAAAGAAGGGCAAAGACATACATACTAAACATAAAGCACCTTCTGCAAATAAAAAAAAGCTCATTCCTTTATTTTGGAAGAATATGTATTTCCAAGTCTCCAAACCTCCAGAGGTGCACTTGACTCATATTTCTCAATGACTTCTTAAAAAAACCCAGATAAATTAGAAAGCTAATTTCAGCACATCAGTATCTCAGTCCTCCAGTATGCGACATGTAATGTTTTACAGTAAATTAGCACGGAGTATTTAATAATTACGAGGGAAAACCAACTGTTTCAAAATGGTGTCAATAGATGCAAGGAAAGAGAAAAAAATAAAAGAAACATGAACCCCAAATTTGTCCTTCCCCTCCTTCACTGATGACAAGAAGAACCCAACACACCCAGTTCTGATGCCTGTTTTGTAGCTATGTCTTAAATTCCGTGGGATTCTGTGTTCACTTCGTCACTCCATCATGGCCTTTAAAACCCTAGTCTCTCTGGTCACCCTCTCTTACTGTCTTATCCATGAAATAAGGCATATTCTCAGTATCATGTCTCTCAAGTGTAGGAATAATAGATATAATAAATCTATCTTTGATGACAACCTTTAGTCACTTGGTTTAGTTTTATTTAGTCTGAATTCTGAGGAGCAGGGAGTTAAGACTTGATAATCCCTTCCAACTTGAGATATTCTATGATCTTCACTCAGAAGAAAATGTAACACACTTCTCATCTTTTTTTAAATGCTTTAGAGACCAAATGTAGATAAAAGCCAAAGACTTAACAAGGTCTCCTTGTCAACTGATCAACTACATTGTCAACGCCAAATTGTTTCCGTAAAGAAATCCTTACTAAAATCCTACACAGTTGTAGCACTAAACCTGCATTATATAGGGAAACTGTTGTTTAAACATGTCTCAAAATGGCTTTTGGTGGTCCTCTTTGCAAACACATGCTTCTTCCTCCCAGCACCCCCCAGTGTTATCCATGCAGGAAAGTCCTGGGAAGGTGTCCTGAGGTGTTTCCCCATTGGCCTTTGTTAACCCCTTCCTGTGATTGGGTGTTCCTGTAAGCCCCTTGAGACTTCTGATTGGTTACTCTGTGAATCCTCCTAAACCCTATAAATGTAACATCCCCCACAATAAACTCTCTCTTGCCTCCTCTCCACGCCCGGTGTCCTGTGACCTGTCTCTGTGCCGGCCATGGGGCCACGTGCGGGGGGGGAGGGGGGAGCACCTCTCCCCTCCAGGCTCAGGGCCTGAAAAAGCCCTGGGATACCCCTGGAGTTTCCCTTTCCCCATCCCTCAAAGCGTCGCAATGGTTCTTCAGATGGAAATGGAACTAGAACTGGGCCAGCCCCACACCGTGGATGGGGAAAGGGATCCAGACACAGTGAGCCTTTAAAAGTACTTTCTAGGTTGAGGATGGCAATATATTTTTCCTGATAATAAAACAGGAGCTTTATAATCCTGTCTCAAAATTAATAAACTTATATTGAAATAATCTGTTATTAGATATTCTGGTTTTTTCAGTTACAAAAAGCAAATTTCATAATATATACATTCTTGTGAAAAAGACCCTACTATTTACCTGCACTTCTGTAGCTCAGATCACCAAGAATTTTGTCTCCCACTTTTCTCAGCTTCCAGTGTTGTCTCAGTCTCAGCAGTTCAGAGTTGAAGTCTCTTTGTCGCTTGTTTTCCTGGTTTTCTGCAACCGATTTGGATAATCTTTCTGCACCTTTCAATAGGATTTGAGCTGCTCCAGCTAATGACTTCTTTTTTGAAATCAACTGTAGAAACTGAGGATTCTGGTAACAACACCAAAAAAAAAAAGATACAGAGATACTTGCACCTGAATTCTCAAAAAAATCATTCTTTATTATTATTAATGGAAACTAACTGACAGCAATTGATAAGTTGTTACTGCTGGATATCCACTAACTGATTTGGAATTACTTTCATATCAGCATTATACAGTCACAGGTAGCATTTTGATTTAGAACTTCAGCAAAGAGGCCTCTGAAATTGGCCTCACCTCCCATTCCCAGCCTTACCCTGACCCACAAAGCACTGTCCTAGCACAAGGAAAGTTTTACAAAGTCTTATACACATCACACGTGAAAGAATCCACCAAAATAAAATCTTTAGCATCAAGCTACACGAGGTGTATAACTTAGGTACAACATACCTGCTTTGGGGGAAGGGGATCCTGCACGACTGGATCTAGAGTCATGAACTTTTTATCCTTCACAATGCTAAGAACGTCATACAACACACACATCTCAGTCAGGGCACTTCTTAAGTTGTTCCTCACTGAATCCCAAGGCCAGAGGGATGGCTGAAACTTTACCAACCCTAAAAATAAGACAAAGAAAGGGAAAACAAAGGACTTTAAAAAGATATGGTTTAAGACTCATTCTTAAACCACGAAGAGACCATGAAATATAACATGACGTATCTGGAGCTATTCTTTCCCACTACAACTTGCAGGGACTCGGTCATGACTATCCTAACCTGATCCACAGCCAACCGTGGGAATCCCGGGGGAAGGCAGGCCAGGCCCAAGCACCGGCGGGGCTGCAGGCCGGGCACCGCCACACCTGGGCGGGCCTACACTAGCTCCATCCCGGTGGGAGAGCACGGGCCGTGGGCCCCGCCGCCCCTCCTCACCTTCTTCATCCTCCGCCTCGCCCGGTTCAGTCCAGGCGCGGCCCGCCGAGCCCGGCTCGTCCTCCTCGGAGCCAGAGCCCTGGCTGAAGTCGATGCGCTGCGCCAGGCGCGCCAGGTTCTGGGACATGGAAAGCGGCTGGAGGTAGGTTTCGCTGCCATCCAGCCCCACCTCCTGCACTTGCTTCTCGCACGCTGACTCGATGCTGATGCGCACGGCCGGCACTCCCGCCATCTTGGATCGACCCCCGCCCGCAGGGGCGGGGCCAGCGCCGCGAAGGAGCGGAGGGGTGGGGGCAGCGCCGGGAGGTCTCGGCCCTTTCCGGACATGCTCGGGAAGGGGCGGTGCCAGCGCCGTGAGGGGACGGTATTGGACACTGGTGCGCTGAGCTGCTGAAGCTTTTGTTTCGCAGCGTTATTTTTGACCAGAAGTTGGTTTAATGACCCGTTCTAAACATAATTTCACCTCTGGTTCCCCCTCGTTAGCTATGACCACGCAGGAAGCTCAACCAAACATCAGGAAAATATACAATAACGTTGCAATGAAATTACAGTTTGAATTGGGTCATAACTCCAATAACACGTACACTCCGAGTTCCTCCCTTTAACACACTTAAGAAGTCGGCAGTTTACTGCTCTCATATTTATTCTTAAATCTGATAAGTGTGCATAATTAAAAGCGTTACAAAAATCAGCATTTGTACTTCGGGAAGATTAAACTGCCCAGCAGGAGGCTCAATCTCTCCCGACCAGGTGTGTCTCCTGAGGCCTGTCAATGCGGAAGAGCAGCTCGGCAGGCTGGAAGTACCCCAGGTACTGCACACTGTCCGGGCTGGTGTCCTGGTGGTAGTGCCCTCCTTCTCCGTGGTGGCTGAAACAGTGGGTGTGCTCCACACGCAGATCAAAGCCCTGTCACCAGAGAAAGAAAGGTCGATCAACAAGGCATGCATGTGAACAGCATTTAAAAGTCTTTCAATTTTAAACTCTTGCCCCTTCTCCTGTCAGCAGATGCCCTGCTAAAAAGTTTTTCTCCATCTTTCCTAAAAGTCTCCTTTTAAGTACTGGAAGGCTGCAATAAGGTCTTCCTGGAGCCTTCTCTTCTCCACGGTAACCCCCAGCTCTCTCGGTCTGTCTTCATAGGAGAGGTGCTCCAGCCCTTTGATCATTTCCATGACCCTCCTCTGGACCCACGCCAACAGGTCCACATCTTTCTTGGGGCCTCTGAGCTGGATGCAGCGGTCCAGACAGGGTCTCATAAGGGAGAGAATCACATCCCTTGACCTGGCCATGCTTTGATGCGGTCCAGGAATTTTCTGGGCTACAAGAAGATACTGATGAACAGCACACATCAGTTTATTCTGGGAAGATGCACACAATTTATCTGTAAGCCAAAGACTGCCCCGTAATGACACAATAAACTCACACCCTTGAACATATTTAAGCCTTCAATGTGTCTCATTTAACTCTGGAAAAATGTTTTTTTTATATTACTTATGACTGCACTGTTATTTATAAAATAGTAATTTTCATCTATGGTTTTCTGCTTACCTTTAAATAAATAGTTTTCCTCATGATAAGCATCTTCATGGGTTTTGAAACTAGATTAGTTTTATTACTGAATTATTTGCTGTTGAATTTAGTGCTTATGAAAGATGCTAGATAACTTTCCAGCATAAGGCTTTGCAGACTTGAATTTCCATCAGCAACAAGACACATGCTTTCATGTATTTCAACACAGCATTAGCAGAGAGAGTTCTTATGAAAGTGAACTACGTAAACACACACAGCTCAACCAGCTTCCATGCTCTTGGCATTTCTTCCAGCGTGGCCGGCAGTGAATGCAAACACTTGCACACTTGCAATTGGAACTGAACCATTAAGTTCCACCACTATGAACAACTAGGTTTCAGAACAGATTGACCTAGATTCAATTCAAACAAGTCTCAGAAACAAGAAACTTCTATTTCATTACACCACCTCTGGAAGAGTCTAACACAATACTTACACATTCCTGTTCTTAAAAGGAAGATCACAGCCAAGACAAAATTCATTACAAGTCTCAGTTTACACTTAAAAATGAAAAAGGAGACTCACCGGATCTCTGGAAACTATTACTGGCTGACAAATCAGTGGAGCCTTCATTTCAAAGAATTTGAGCCAGTTATTCACATCCTCATCAGTATTCAGGGGACAGGTAGAAAATTCTGGAGGCTACAGCAAAAAAGAAAGCTTTATAAGTAAAGGAAGACACTTGCATCAAGATACTTTTTCTTTAGCAACTTTCTTTCACTTTTCCCCTTCCCACTATTCTGTTCATTTTACTTCTCGATGAAAAGAAGCTCACCAGTGCCCATCACTGTGTTTCTGCCAGAAACAGAAGTGACCAGAATATTGCTTCTTTCATAGCACAGGTAGTGGAAGAACTACTGAAGTGAAGATTCTCCTGCTCCTGGTACATTTTAGAAGCTCAGTTATTTTCCAAAGAGTCTAATGCTTCTTGTAAATATCTCAGTTCACATATTTCATTTCAATTCATTTTACAATAGCTCTCCAATTCTTTAGCTGCCCAAGGATTTCAAGAGATGATGGTATTAAGGCCAAGTAAAACAGCATCACCAGTTTTGTAACACCGATTTTGTAATGTCAGCTCCTTGCTTTAATACAGTGCTTATCCTAATAGTTTATGCATACATTTAACAATACAAAACAAAGTCAAGGCACTAAGATGTTACACCCTGATTTATAATTCTGTTTTCAGGAGGACAAAGAAAGTTACATGAATTGAGAACAACATACCATAATGTGAATCTTTGCTTTCCCCTTCTGAATGATAAATGTACCACCCATCCCAACTGGCTTTTCTCCATAGTGTTTCTCTAAAGTTTGTCTCAGGCAGGAAACAAAGTTAAGTTCCCCAGTTCTTCCATTGGCTTTCACTTCAATGACCTGGAAAATAAAGTTAATTGGTCACTGCTGTCTCCTGCTGCAACAGTCTGCAAAGGTCTGTAAAAGCTGTTCTGAAATTCTCTCAAGCTGATAATTGCTGAAAATGCAATTCCCTGCGAGTGCTGCTCTTTTTAGTACCTGACCAACTCTCTTTTCCTGACTTCTGTTCAGTGCTAGCTTTGCCTGTGAAGGGTGCTGGGCAGCAAGAGATTTACTCAATACATGAGACAGTGATATGAGCAACCCCTTTCTGTCTATCAGCTGGCTTCCACTCTGTTATCAAGAAACTACTGGTACCAGAGAAGACTTTTCGGTTTCCATGCAATAGTCACGTCTTTGTGCTGGCTGTGTCAGGGGCAGTACTTCTACAAAAAGCTAGACAAGTGCCCGCATCTGATTTACACAAGTACATTGCACAACCATTACCTTAAATCACTGCTAGTTTGGAGTGGATTTGGGTGAATGATTTATGATGATGGAAAGGTTTTATTAAGCTAATACTTATGCCTCAAAAATTCAAATGCCTCTCGGTCTCCACCAATTCTTCCCCTTGTTCATTGGCATCAGTTCCTTACGGTTGCATGTTTCTCTCATGGAATTACAACTTTACTATTACCACAGAAAACATATAGTAGAACATTAAATCATGAGTTTCCCTTCAGTCACAAAGCTCTGCAAACAAGTCACCTTTGATCCAAGTACACACCTTACCAGGTTTGCCCTCACTGGCATAAAGATTGGCCAACAGTCCAAACTCACAGTCAGTATATTTACTGCTGTACTTCTCAAGCAGGCACCCTTTGTCTGCAGGATTTATCTGAGCAACGTAGCTCCCATTTACAGCAGGCTTTTTTTCACTCTTAGTTTGAACAATAGGGATAAGCTGAGAAAAAGAACATTTAAGAGTTAAGTGAGTCAATTAGAACACGTAAGAGTGAGTTAAATGAACTGAATTCACTTAAACACTGTTTAAGCTTTGGATCATGAACCCGAGAAATAATCCTCTTCATCACATAGCTCTGTGTCTCAGGATAAAAAATAAACAAAAAAAAAAAGAGGAAAAAAAGTGTCTGAGGTCCAATTCAAGTACTGAAATTCTATGTAATACTTTGACAGTGTACAGTAACAACCACTATAATAGTGGCCCAAATTTAACGTTGAGATGGGCTATCTCACCTGCCAATAAATCCATTAAAAGGAGATGGCAAGACCAGAGGTTTATGCCTGAAATAACTCTGATTATCCAGTCTCCACAGGCAGTAGGTTTTATCTCCTGCCTCTCTTGCAGTTCACCATGTTGTATGTGGCATTTTTAAAATTTACAGTGGTAAAGTCATCCAAGAGGGCAAAATACAGGGAGTATTTTAAAGGCATTTACCAGTAAGTTTTAAAAGCTTTTCTAAATCTTGGAGTTAAAACCTCTGGTCAGGTCTTTGTCAATTAGTTTCAAAAAAATCATGTTTCTTGCATGCTCCAAGGCAACCACATGCTTCCTGAAGAATTACAAGTTAAAAATTAATCTTTATTATCTCAGTAGTATGCACCTCAGTGGATGGCCCTCATCTGAATTCCTTCTAATGTGTTTTATGTGCTTGTGACATGAAAAGTGTTTATTAAGTATTTTGTGATAAATGGGAAATACCCTGTATGACACTGCTCTATTATTATGATAATCCCACGAATTCATGGAGAACCATTGCACTTATTTACTGACCTCAGCATTTACTCCAAGAATCTTAGATGAAACAGCTCCAGCTCCAAGAATGAATGCTCCAGGCAGCTCTATGTCTTTTGCAACTGTATTTAGATCGTAAACCTGCAAAATAGAAACAACCCTTCCATCCCTGGAAGTGTCCAAGGCTAGGCTGGATGGGGCCCTAAGCAACCTGATCTAGTGGGTGACATTCCTGCCCATAGCAGGGGAGGTTGGAATTAGATGATCTTTAAGGTTCCTTCCAACCCAAGCCTTTCTATGATTCTATGATTTTAGTGTGGTGCTCTGAGCTGGAATTGTCATTCTGTTCAGTGTAATCTCTGGATGCATTTAATTCACAACACCCTCATTAATATTATGGATGATTAGGCTGAACACAGTTTCTGAACACAACAAACCATTTGGTAATAATAAATTTGGTAGATGTCCATTTGTCTTCTGACAGGTGAATTTTGCCTGTATGTTCCCCCGTCATTATACTCAAAAACTGAATTATTGTTCTTGTTGAAATTTCCTTGGAAAAAATGGAAGGAAATATCATATAGAGACAGATTGAATGAAGTGTCAGCAAGAAGGCATGATATTCTTGGAAAAGGAGGATAATACAAATC